GACCATCTGGCAGCGAGGTTCGTGTGCCACCAACAATTTCTCACTCACAAGAATGCTCCAAGCCTCCTTGTAACCCCGTTGTAACAGATGTTTCCACTCCTCCAAGGAACTTCGGTCTTGCGGAAATACTAGGTGCCATCCAGAAACTAGACAGAGTTCTGCGCGCCCCTGGTAATCTGTTGGACCCAAAGAGCCGCAGATTGAGCAGTCGTTACAGACGTCGCTCCGCCATCCGAAGGGAGGCGCTGCGCAGACGCGCTGAGCTGCTGTGCTCAACGTGCCAGCCGGGAGCTGATAACGTGGCTAATATTAAGTTTATAATCGACCCTGCGAGCCAGAGGGACCCTCAAACTTCAGAAACAAGCACATCTTCAGCAGACATGGGAATATCATCAGGGAAAATACCTACACCCTCAGAAGCCCTTGCAATTGCCGATATGCTAGGAACGATCGGAGTCTTTGATAAAGCTCAGGAACTGGGAGCCGATAAAGTTGTCTTGGAGGCGGGTGGCCCTACGCAAAGTGAAAACTGTGAGAATACATTAATCGTTATTGAAGCAACTCTCGTCCCTAAAAGAAATAAAATTATATCTTCTACGAAACATTCAAAAGTATTTAGTGCCAAACATTCCAAATCAAAAAGTGACGTAACAATTAGCAAATCTCGAGTTTATTTGAGTGGGAAGAGTACACCTAATGCCCAACATTCCAAACTAAAGAGTGATGTGATAAATGTGGCCTCTCCTCGAATGTGTACGAGTGCTATGAACGCAAGAAAACCAGAGTGTTTGCACAAAGGGAATAAAGTAACTTGCAATACCTCTGCAGCGCCAACAACTACCGGCAAGTGCAGTAACAATAGTATATGCAGAGAAGATAAAACGGTATTTAAAAAGTTACTACCCAAAAGCCATCTCGAATCAACTGAAAGAAGATCTTCAGATGCTAAGAAGGTTCCGCTCACTGGTGCATATTCATCACACACATTTAATTCTCGGCGTAGAATCATTCACAAGATGAAACGTTCACAACCGACTGATATAAACTCAAAATCACTTCAACCGTCTAAACCAGATCGTTCTTCAAAAGTGGTGGGACCCCCTGAGCAATTGAATAATCCAGGAGGCACCCAAAAGAAGGATGGGCGCAATTCTGCAAGCAAAAAATCTCCACAAACTGAATAAAGAAGTTAAGGGTCCCAAGTAAATGGGCAGAGTTTACCCAGTTTTCTTAGGTTTTCTCGTGCCTCAATACTAATATAATTTAATGCTCACAATTTGCTTTAATGTTAACTCTTTTACAGATTTAAAGCACATCTAACATCGCGCTCAATCTCATTCACTGTAAATAAAAAAAATCTAAAACTAATGTAAGGTGCCAAGCACTACATGAAAGATGTTGTAAATTTTAAAGTGTTATTACTTTATTCCTTTTTTCACTGACATAATTTGCACGATTGGTATGTAAAGTCATTAGGGAAGAGAAGAACGAACAAGTAAATACAAATGACTGCATTGGTTTCATCTATGTTCCGAGAGTGTAGGAACATGTCGCAGATTATTCTTTGACAATATTACTTCAGATTTTTAAATTCACAGGCAAGTCAAATATGAACATTTAACACATTCTAGAAAATGATTTTCTTCCAGAAAAAATAATGAAAGAGCTAGTGAATAATTCTACGGTGAATTTCATTATTACGTACCAGTAAAATGACTAATTTACATTTCTCTGAAGAATAATCTTATATATACCCTGATATTTGTTTTCTTTATCAGAAACGAATGAAGAATTTTCATCAAACGAAAATAACGGGTATATATTTGTCTAGGGAGTGTTAGAGTGGCATGTTTTCGTAGAAGTATTCAACAATATTGCAACCCCATGACCAAATAATTTACTTGACTGTGTCGGTGGTCGAGGATACAGCGCACATGGCGCACCTTATTTAAATGCTACAAAAATAAGCAGAGCACGCTACAGGAAGACTATCAATTAACGTTTGGTCAATTTGCATTTGAGTGCGTTTGCATACTTACAAATTTACGATTGTCATTTAACGTTAGTGACTCGAAATAAAAGGCGGAGCTTAATCGCAAATTGGTCTATCCCACATTTTTCATTCACAGGGGGAAAGAAACTATGCACCCATCTTCGCAGTGAAGGCTGTTTCTCTGAGGATCAAGAAATCACCAAATAGTTTTGCACCAAGTGTTTTCGAACAATGTTGTATATCTTTCTGATATCAACGTGGTTGGATTGAATTCTACTACAAAAAATCAACTGTTTTCAAATCAATGGACTCAAGATAGACAGCATTACCATAATTTACTGTCGAAAGAGCGGCTCAGCAAGCGAAGCGCCACGGCGTCGAGACAGTGTTTCTAGAGTGTAGCGAATTCGACAGAAAATTGATTGGATGGAGAGCGTTACTTCATTGAAAATTAGAGGAATAATTAAAAAATAATGGAACGGAATTATCTGAAGATAAAGGAACACTTAAATACATTTCAGGACAAATCGAAAACATACTTCCGAAACTTCAAATTTTTAATATTTTAGAAAGCGATTAACGCCCTTGAAAAAAATGTAAAATTTCATTTGGAAATGTAAAATTCTAAAGATTATTTGTGGCAAAATATAAATTAATTTAGAAATCTTATCAAATTTGAGGAAAGGAAACTATACATTTAAATACGATAAAATTATTTTGGGGTATTTCGTAGAAATAATTTCGTTTGATGGAAAGATTTATACGTAGAAAGTTTCTTCGGCTATTAATTTCATTTATGAAAAATATGAGAAACAAATAATAAATTGAATCAAAAGAAAAGTCAATAAGATTACCATATCTTGACTTGCTACACAATGAGCTTCCTCAGACTCTTATGCTAAAATATTTAGCGTATACACATAGCGTATGCACATAGGACATGTCTTCATATTTGCTCATGGTTTTCAGAGTAAAACCAATTGATTTTAAAAGAAAGAAATTGCACGCAGAAATGGAACATCAGAAGTCTGAAATAAAACTTTCAACATTTTTATACACCTAGGATCAACTCTTTAAATGTCACCATTTCAAAATGCTAATTATGTTACAATTTTGAATCTCGCTGAAAGGTTACGTATCCAAAGTGTGGACTTGACAAATAACCTGTGAGCCGCCACGTTTAGCGAAAACTATGGCCAGAGAAATGAACAATCGCGGCCTTAGAGCCACGAGAACCACTGGCTCTCCTGGATTCTTTGGAATCTCTGACATGTACAGAGGTGTTATTTGTCCCAGATCGTTTAGAATGTCCAGGACAGATTTATTGCCCACAATTCCTAGTGGTACTGAAATTGATGAGACGTACGATATTTCGCAAGGGGCTAGTACCACCCACAGTTCAGATGACCGTATTGAGTCCTCAGATGTTAGACGCAATGCTAGTACTCAAATCAGGAGAATGGGGAATAGCGACAAATCTCCTGGAATTTGTCAAACTGATGACAGCCTTATATCATCCTATTGTGATGTTTTCTCAAAATATCAGCATTACGAGAAAACGAATTCTAGTGTTGGTGCTTCAACAGAATTGCAACACAATACCATGTCTGAGAAATACTCAAAAGTAGCAAAGCCTAAAATTCCTGAAATACACAACCCTATATTTCTGCAAGATAGTAATTCTTCCTGCAATGAGACTTGTAACAAGTCGTTTGTTAGAACCTCTACATATAACAACGAAATTAATCGAGAAAATCCTACAAACGTAGGAAATGTACAAAGGCCAATTTCATGCGCTGGGTGCAGATTTTTACAAAACGAACCATGCGCTGAGTTCGACAGAAAGCCCGATGCGGCATGTGGGGCTCGCGAGATTTTTCAAACTGCTGGAAAAAACAAGGCAAATGAACGAACTCTTGTAGACGTTTCAGGAACTGGTTCATTGTATAATTACGCAATATCCGAAGTTCACCAAGATTCCTTGCATGTTGGCAGGAACGAAGAAGGTATCAGAAGAGTAGTAATAAATGAAAAAGCACAGACACCAGCTAAAGTTGAATTAAACAATAACTCTTTATCGAAAGATGCGCAAAATTTCGGAGTAATATCTTATCCTGACCATACTAGAGGGACTTCGGATGGTTCTGAAACTACCAATAATATTACTGAAGGTCGAAATCAAGAATCACCTGTAAAATTGAATGGAAACTCTACAGGAAGCAGATTGCAGCAAGATCCTCCATTCTCAGAAATGCCCGATTCAAGAAACATGCAAGAAGCCCCAGGTCGGCAAACGCCCGCTAATCGGAGACCGTATGTTCAAAAGGTGGCACCCTCAAATCCCGCGTGTTCGGGAGGTGCAAATGTCGGCTGCGTGGGCACGTGCGGTGGCTTGCCCGCGCGTTACAGGGAACCACCCTGCGCTTCGGCCGTTATTCCACGTGGAACCGGCTTTCCCAAGCACGCCAGAATGTTCGGAGCGTCCATGCCCTACAAAAACAAAGGCCCACCCGGGGACGTAGAAAACTGCGGGATCAGTTTACTCCCTAGAGTGTGCAAAACAGTGCGCTCCAGACACGACGCGTGTCATAGAGGATACACTCACCCCATCATTCGAACCATTGCAGGTTCAAGGACACACGGAGCATCAAGGTGTTCGGCAAAAACACGTGGTAAAAAGAGGAGTCGAACAAGTACCGATGCGATTTGCTGTGGCTTTCATGGCGGAGCAGAAAACCATGCTAGCTGTAGTACTTATGAAAGCGTAGCATTTGGAGGGGCTTGGCCGCCTCCAACACCAGGAGACGTTCTGCAAACGCCAAATGCAGAGATGGTCGTAGCGGCTCTTCGTGAAGAGAGTCGTCATTCTGAGTATGAACCAACCCAACAAACAACCATGAATAAGCGAAAATAAAAAAAATGTTAAAATCAAAGTTATCTGAGAACAGCTTGTAATTGATCAAAATGAACGTCGCGGGGAAGCCAGTACATATTGCGCTGCTTGAAAATGCAAGTTCGGGGCCGTAAATCCACGGACTATTTGACTCAGGTAAGAGTTTATAAGCTCACGCATGGAGGTACATTTGTCATCGTAATGTTCCAGCATCTATTCGAAGAATAAAAATCTTCGTCGGTTTCAAATGGATATATTATGATACCACTTCGGTGCTAATAAAAGTCATTTTGATATGATTCCCAAACTTAGACAAGAACCCATGAGGTTTTTAAATTTTAAAATCTGAAATATCCCCAGGAAAACGTCGAAAGTGACATACAAAATTTTTCTTAGTAGCCAAGGATATCGTGAAACTTCAAAAATGCAAATTCATCTGAAAAGTTAATGTTAACATGCGAATTTAAATATTTTTACATAGTCCAAAGATTAAAAATGTCTATAAGATGTAGTCGCTACTTAAAGAGTTAATCGAAAACATCTGGCTCATTCATGCATATTATTTAGTAATACAAAGTAAGCATAAAATCTGTAAAAAAAGTGATACTTTTTTCAACGAAAAGAACAAATTCTGTTACCTAATTTACAGCAAATAAAAAACAACAGGGGCAATACTTTACTGAAAGAAACAAATCATAGCGTTCATCAAATTTCAGCGTTAATTTAATATGAAATAAAGTTAGAGTGAATATTCGAATTAAAATATTTATTAACAATTACTTTTTAATATAAGAAAGTCGTGTCTTAGCCTGAAACAATAATGAAAATCGTGCTTAACTTCATTTCAGTTCAAGCCTTACTATCAAGAAGAAAGATTCAATACGGACGACAGTGGCTGTTGTTGACAGTGAATCAAAAGTTTAGTATTTTTTGAATATTTAAATGTATCGAAAATACCTGTTAGTCTTCGAAAATCCACCAGCTCAGGAAAGCGAAAGAGAATAAAACAACCAGGATCCTGGTATTATCGTGTGGGAGAAAGAAATTTCAAATTCATACTTTAAAGAAATGAAAGTGTCTAGTTCCTAATATTTGATATTAATTTGAAGTTTGTCAGAAAACTTGAGAAACATTTTAGAATCGACAAAATTAAAATAATATTTTACATTTAATAGTGTGTGTAATGAGACAAAAAAAGAACTCGGCGGAGGAGTTCTAAATAAAATAGTAGCCGAGCCGATATTAAGAAAATTACCGAGAGAATTGACTCTTGTTGCCAAACTTTGACACCAACTGTCTGCTGCCTCAGATACGTTTGTTAGAAGTAGTATGACCAAATTTTGCACAATTTGCCGACATTTCCGAATGGTTTCCAGAATGGTTTATATCATAAGAAGACGAGAAGAAATTTGGATTGAAGATGCCTCAAGAGCCTTGAAGTCTATCTTGGATTTGATGCTTCAAGCTCTGCGCGCGATGCATCGCAAATTCACTCCATATCATCTTATCTCTAATTGGTGAAACTCAAATTTCAAGAAAGCAGTTATCTTTAAATCAACAGATTATTTCGAGAAATTGAAAAAAAAATCCAAACACTGATATTACAGAATTTTATTGTAGCACCAAAACTGATTGCAACCATGGCTAAAAATATCAATATTCACCAAACCTCGAAAACGAGAATTGGAAGTAGAAACTTGCAAACCAGCAGCTTCGAGGTCTCACCTGGTGGTAGAGGGAAAAAATCTTTCCGTGCAGTGGCATTGTCTCTCTCACCAACAACCTCAGGCAGCATGCGACGCTCCGAAAGTGTCACGCCAAAAATAAGAATTGACAGTAAATATTACGCACGAAATTCTTCCATTTCTAAAAATCCTTCAGTGCTTAGAAACGAATCTAACCCCCGCCGTGGTGCGATCAACAGAGCCGGTGTGGTCGAATCTGACAAAAGTGTTAATTGTAAAAGAGCTCTCTGTCCTCCAACATGTACGTCTCGTTCACGTATTCCGTCACAAACGTCAATCCTTTCAGGTGGCCAAAGGTCGTATAGAAGCTCATGTTGCGTGGGGCATGCTACAAGAAATAGCCAGGAAGCATTTCCTATCGACTCTTCAGCCCCCACGAACGTCAACAGAACCTGCGGAATCAATAGATCATACGAAACTTATGGCTTTCCTGGAAGTTGTGGTGCGGTGACAGGTTGTACAAATTCCCAAGGGTTGACAAATATTGACGCAAGGAGAAGCTGCGTTGGATCATTAAACAGCCAACCATATTTTTCAAATGAATTACTGAGTGGGCGGAGAACTAACGATGTCTCGACCTCTACGGCTTATTTGCCTTTCATTCCACTCAGCGTTCCGCAGTCACCTCGAATATCCAGTCATAATACTGGAATGTGCCCTTGTAGGTTGGGACCTGATGGTCGTAGAAGCCCTCAAACACTCGAAACGGCCTCGGGACCTATGCCTACACGCAGCATAGAAGATGGGAATCTCTACGGGGGAAACCCTTTGCTGGGAGCGATTGAAATGCTAGGCGCAGCTTCCGTTCTTGTACATCGCAAGATGTTAGCGGGCAGTGTACTCGTAGCACCTCCAGGATTCAGCAGCCTTTCAACAACTGGTTTTGGCGCACTACCCGAAACCACAGCAAATTCTACAGGACAAGGATTCGTTAATACCTCTGGATATGACCCTAGACGTGAAGCTCCTCCAATTTATGGAGGAACAGGCAATGACTATTCGATGGAAGACAGTGAAATTCACGTTGAAAAATACACGCCCGACAACAAAATCAAGAAAAAGAACAAGATGAAAAAGAAATCAGATATCTTATCACCAATTTTGTCACTAGATAACACAGTGGCCAATAAACCCACCAGAAGCCATGGAGCATCCGCTTTAAGTGATAAAACGCCAATTAGCAGTGAAGAAATTTCGGTTGTTGCGCAACCACATTCTGAACCACCACTGGAAGCAAATGTAAGTGAAACATTCGATGGGGTCAACAACACTGATACTCAAATTAAAAATAAACCTGTCTTCCCTGTCGTGAGTATACTGAAGAAAACTGCCAAGAAGAAAATGGAATCACAAAATTTGAAACTTGACAATACTATACTCAATAAGCCGATTAAAAGCCAAAAGACATCCCCCTCAATAAGACATAAAACGGTCAATAGCGGTGAACAAAATCCCATTGTTGCGAAACCAGAAGTTCAAATGAAGGATGATGCAAATATAGCTCAAACATTAGATGATGTTACTGAAATTCAAAATACACTTAAGATTCCTGGCGATAATGAATTTTCTAAAGATATCGGAACATCGGATAAAACTAAATCATTAGATATTGGGAAATCTGAATACCAGGAAGGAACGAAAACTGTTGAAGATCCTGCAATAAATTCTCGCTGCACTAAAATGACAATTTGTGCGGACATTCCACGACGTTCATGCATATCTGGCACGAATGGATTGTTCGTTATGGCTGAAGTGTCACAATCTCCCACCACGTCCAAAACTACAGGTACGTTTATTGTTAGTGGAGAGCACACACTCAACAGACAGTCGGAGTACTGTAGTAACCGTGGGATTAACAATGTGTGCCCGACGACCAAAATATCCAAAGTAACTCAACCGAAAGAGTCCTTCTACACGTCAAAATCCAAAACATCCAGAATACCTGGAGAAAGGAGAGATACTGAATCATCTAAGTCCATTATAATGCCCAATTCCTTGGAAATAGAGGGCGATGAAACGTTAGATACTAGCCAAAATCGAAGAGAAAATGCATCATCGATTATTTCTGATGATACGAGAGAGGAACAGGAAACAAGTGAGGCATCGGCAAAGGATAAACTGTCTAAAGCTATCCAAAACCTAGAAAAAGCAGAAACTCAATCTGGGTGTGGATCGACGGGTCTCACTGTGATAATTCGAGGTAGTGGAAATGCACGAGTGTCAGTGACAAGCGAATGCTCTGAAATTCCCAACAACCTTAGAGCCAAAGATGCATTTGGAAGAGCGAGCACTGCTGGAATGCCATCGCTTTCTGAAGAATCAGCATCAGTTAGATCTAGAAGAAACGATGAATTTTGCAAAAGAAATAGATGCAGTATGATTCCGGAATTGCCTGAAAAACCAACTGAATGTAAAATCCACGAGTTAAATGAAATGCCCATTTCTGTTTGTTCACAGGCAGATAGTACGCTAAATAACATCAAATTACCTGATGTATCCAGAATAAATGAAATTAAAGGATACACCGATGAAAATAATATTCTTTCAATGTCTGAAGCACTTGGTTTATCCCGAGACGATAAAAGGTGTTCGAGTATTGGGGTGACGAGAACAAGCCAAATGAAGAAAGGCAATGGGAAACGGACCACAATGGATGCAAGAATATCTGAAGAACAAATCGAAAAGTCTGCACCACTATTCGAAACAATGAAAACAGTATGTGAAACTGAAAGAATCAGAAGCCATGGATTGGAATTGAAGGCGGGTGGAAGAAATCAAACTTGTACATTGACAAGGGCGGTCAGAGGGGGGAAATCTCAAACTAACAAAAAACGTTCTTTTAAAACACCCTCATCTGCACCGCGACATACCGTAGGACACTGCGGGACAGCTATAATCTCGGGAGTCTGTAATCCCCACACCAATGTCAGAGTTGGCAATGCTTTCGGGATGCTGGAAGCAGCAGGCAACGCCCGGTACGGCACATGCTTCGAAGGTGTCGCCCGCCAGCTGATTGAAACGAGGCACAGAAGTCAAAGAGCGACCCGCAGACGCCCGAACACTCGAAGGTTCAGAACACAAGGAAAAAATGTGGAAACGGCTGCGAACACGCAAGAGACGACGAGCGCCGCTCCTCCACCGCCAGTTATCGCTCACGTAGAAAGATCTATTAGCTCCGAAATAATGTCTCAAAATCTTAACTCGGATTCTGATTAACTATCAAGTGAAAATTTTGACGACAGTGAATACTGTATATTTGTATCTCGCATAACTTCCACAAAACTGCAGACTTCGCTGTTATGATTATCAACGAAGATCATTAAGTGTGCAACGTTATTCAAATTTTAATCAGTAAGTGTAACTTTTGCATTATTTTAATGTTACAATTGAAGTTTAAAATAAATATGAATAGGTACTTTAATGCACACGATTTGGGGTGATTATTTAATGTTGATATTAAACCAGAATTTTAAAGTTATAAACTACTTCAAAATTCAAACAAAGATAGAAATTCCGCATTTTCTTGTACAAAAAAGCGTAGGGTTGCATGATTACATGTGTAATAATAAGTTAAATAATTAGTATCTGTTTTATCACTAGATGAAAAAATGAGCAGAAAAAAGTCACATGTATATCAAATCACTTTTCAAGAATTTGGACTTAAAACTGTAAATAACAAAACTTAGCTGCGAAGAAGCGTAGTTTACACCAATTCGCTGAGAATACCAACAAAAGTGATTGACAGTGTGAAGTTACTAATACAAACTAAGACAGGAATACAGAATCCATACAATAGTAATTTATATACGGTAGAACGTAGAAGCGAGATATGGAGGACTGAAATAAATAAGAGCAGGTATAATTTTAGAACATGAAATAATTTGTGTGGGCACTCAATAAGGAGACAATTGTAATAACAAATATGCAATTTAATGCTTTGGACTTCTCTCTTAAAAAAGAAATATATGGAATATTCAAATAAGCTATTCGTGTATAACATGGTGTTGTAAGTGCATTAATTCCGTAATTTAACGATGAACACCAAAATCTCATCTAAATTTCATGATTTAAGTCCATTTTAACTTGCAGCGAAATACTTACTAGAAGGGATTGCAAACGTATCTCTTTTTTACAGCTTAAAGAGCTTGCTGTTTTCTTTAAGAGTACCATTTAACACTTACGGTTCTGGATGATTTTCAGAACGACGCGAGTCAACTGGTGATGAAGAAACTACGATTTCTTTCTTGTGGTTACCTGCTAAATCTTCAGTAAACTGTGAAGAAATTTCCACTTTCACCTTGGGCAATATATCATCGTGATTGCAAAAATCACAAGTTTCTACAGTGAGTTTACAAATTCATGAGCCAATATTAGATGTGGAATCTTGGTGAATATTTCCAAGCAGATCATAAATCGAATTACTAGGCCGATTTGAAAATTCTGTTGTTCTGATATTTCTGAAGGCGAAACAATTGAAAGCACACACACACACGCTGACGTGTGTGGACACCAACCGGTGGGATAATGCCTAAGTCATCGGGGGGCTCGGCGGCCGACGGGGCGAAGACCTCGACGGAGTCGCGGGGCCGCCGTGGCTCGACGAGCCCTAGCAGCAGTAGGACCTCCGGGGCCGCAGGAGGGCGCAGGTCGTCGGGGTCCCGGTCGTCGGGGTCCAGGTCCCGGAGCCCCGCCGGCGGCGAGAGGCGCGGCTCTGTGGCGTCCGACGGCGGGGGCCACCGCCGCGCGAGTGGCAGCCACGGAGCCTCCGAAGCGCGTCACCAACGGGAAGCACCCAGGGACAAGTCGAGCACGAGACCCAAAATGCCGGCGACAAAGGACAGACCGGAAAAAGTGGTGGTGCCGCCGCTCGGGACTGCGTCCGCTGATGGCTTGTCGCTGAAATCAACCGAATCTGAAGAACAGGCGAAACCCAGAGAAGAGGATCTACTTGAATTACCAAGCCAGGAACAAGAGGAGGAACAGTCTTCAGAGGCACAAGACGATGCCAATCCAGTCGCACCTCCTACGCAAGAGTCGGACAAAGAAGAGACAGATGCAGCGTCACCAGACGAAACGCCTCCACAAACTGAGGAGCCTGTAATGCAAACAGAACGCGAGGAGAATCAGGAGTTACCACAACCTATGGCACCCACTTTGATGAAAGAATCTTCGAAGGAGGACGAACAATCGGAATCTTTAAGTTCACAAGAAAACCTCGAGGCTGGGTCCACCTTGGTGGCAGAGTCTCCGAAAACGGAAGAACATTTCGAAACTGCGAAAACAGAAGAAGACTCCGAATCAGCGAAAACAGAAGAAGACTCCGAATCAGCGAAAACAGAAGAATATTCCGAATCTGCAAAAACAGAAGAACATTCCGAATCTGCGAAAAACAGAAGAACATTCCGAATCTGCGAAAACAGACAGAACATCAATTGACACGAGAACATCTCGAATTAAAACAGAAGAACATTCCGAATCCATAAAAAATAAAAAATTTTGTTAAATAACTAGAAGAAAAAATTCATCATATACGAAAGACGAAAAAAAAAATTAAAACTTATGCGAAAACAGAAAGAACCATTCCGAATCTAACGAAAACAAAGACATTCCGAATCTTGCCGAAAACAGAAGTAACATTCGAATCTGCCGAAAACATGAAGAACATCAATTGCGAAAAGAAAACATCCGAATCTTCGAAAACGGAAGAAGATTCAGAATTTTCGAAAACAGAAGAAGATTCGGAATCTTCAAAAACTGAAGAGCATCCAGAATTTGTGAAAACTGAAGAACATTCAGAATCTGCGAGCCCGGGACAAAGTTTGAAGGCTGCACCCACGCCGACAGAATCTTCTAAAACTGAATATCATTCAGAATCGAGTCCGCAAGATAATTTGGAGTTTGCCGAAAGTCAAGGGCTTTTCAAATCTTCGGAAATCTCAAGCTCACACGAGCCTTCTGAAGATATGAGTTTTGGATCCTTTGATTTGCCCTCAGAATCCACCAATATTAAAAGTGCAACACTTTCCGATAATCTCGACAACAATGTCACAACTCAAGAGGACACCAACCTTCCTGCAGAAGTTGTAGTCGAAGGAAGTTCAGAGAATCTGGAGAGCACTGGTATTCATAAGGCATCCGATGCTGAAGGGCTCCAGGAAACACTTGAATTACCAATGGAGGGCAAAACTAAAGAGTCAGAGGATATTGATGACGCAAAGTTACTGGAAAAAGCAGAGTCATTTCCTGCTAAACCGCAAGACCCTGAAATATCCCAGAACGATCAGTACTAGCCATGAAACATCTTCTATCGCCCGAGAAAATGAGAAGGGCACTGCACTCACGTGGAACCATATGTATTTTTGTAAAGAACACGTCCATCTGATTGTTCTCCTTATCCAACAAAATAAACTCTGATCTTGCTACTTACATGTATTTTTATTTTAATATTAGCCGCGAGAAATATATTTTTTAAATTTTTATTACAGAATAAGTAAAAATAATCGCATCAAATTGGATCGTGCGAGACACAAGTAAGAAGTAGTTATCAATGTATGACTACTTTGTTCAAACAGGAATACTGACAGATATTATTGAAGGTAAGTAAATGACGAATATGAGGCAACATTTTTATTATAAACACATAATTTTACGTAATCTCAATTCCTCTCTTAACTGCTTGAACATATCGGAATGAGGAACATTTATCATATTCAAACAAATCACACGGATCTAGATAAGAAAAATGAATGCCATTTGAAACACCATCTTTCCACAAAGAGTAAACTAAACTTTAGTTCATTTACGTGTTGTGAGAACTATATCACAAATCAGCAGGAGAGACTGGCACACATGATCGCCGTTCCGATGCGTACGTTCCAGATTGGGCAAATTTCAGTGTCTGTGACAGATGTCGCTCAACAGACGCCTGCCGCAATCTTTGGAATCATCACACAAAGCGCTCTGCGTGGGTAAGAGGGCTTCAACAAGCTCAAAGATCTCTAGCATCCTATGTATCTTGAGGACCTATGATAGCGATGAGTTCCTGCGATATGCAGCGAATATCACAGCGAAATTCGAGAAAAACATCAACAAATAATTAGTAAATTCTACAAGTACATTACAAGTTCCCTTTCATTTTTTAAATAAGTAAACACTTTTCGTTTAATTCGTTCTTATTAATATGGAAAAGGAAAGGTAGGGAAAAGGGTGTAATTTCACATGCGACAGTTCTTGCACGGGTACATCAGTCCGTTTTGGATACCGAAGATCTTCCAGAAAATACTGGATTATCCCTTCTTGGACCATCAGAAATTGAACCATCAGCCTCAAAGTGACCAAAAATAAGTGAGTTGACTGACATAAGTATAAGTAGAAATATGAACCTATTAATTATTTTTTTATGGTTTTTGATACTTTATCGTTATTGTCACTATTCACGACTAACAAAGTTGGGTTAAAAAAATTTCTCCAATTTGTAACCAGCTTCCTACAGAGCAAATAAAATGGCTTCTGATGCTTTTGTAATTGTTTGCACGAGATACAGGCTGTTTCCAACAACGCGACGTCTTACTATTCCAAGTTTTTTATTGACCTCGGATTTATTTATTGTAAGTGATTCCTGGCGCGTCAACTGTTAAGGTCATTAGCCCTGTAAGTGTAGTGAATGGTTTTTCCTCTGGAGGTGGGGATTTTCCCCTCTGGATAGAAAGATTCGGCGCCGACCTACAGTCGACTAGTTTTGTTTTACACAAACAGGTATCTCCTAAGAGTGAGGCACCGCCTCATCTGCTCTAAGCTCCCAATCGGTCTCTCTGCATGCGTGGTAGTGTGGTACATGTTAATGTGTGTGTGTAAGTAAGATGTGAGGATATGACAAGGAAGGGGAAGGAAAGATCGCGCGCGATCCGTGGCCCGTTTGTTAGGATATTGCACCGCCGTTCACTTGAAATTACTCGGAGAAACCACGGAAAACTTCCGATCAGAGCAGCTGGCCGCTAGAATTCTCCTTGAGACGGCGACTGAATTCAAATTAACTGTCTAACTAATGTCGAAAATCCTACCCCCGTCGGAACTCGAATCTGGGACCTTTCGTCAGAGGAAGTGCAGTGACATACGTTGATGCCTGAGCCACCTCACCTTGTGCACATTTAGAAATATTGCTAGAACGTATATTCTTGCATAGCACCACTCGTGTTTTCACCGTAGATTGCGAATCGCTTCCTACTTTGTACACGGATCCACCCCTTTCCATGTCGTTCGTGCCATCTACCAAGACGTGTACCGCAAAAACAAAATTGGCCTATGTTCACTTCAGAATGTGTCAATACTTAATTTACTTCTTGTGATGAACAAGGTTATATTCCGTGGTTAATGTACTTGTTCCGCGAATGGTTTAATGCGCTAACTCATCATAGCTCGTTTTAGTTCTCGCAGAATTTTAAGGCAGGTCAAATGTACTGCTACATGTGCCTTTGATAGATTTACACCGGATGATGGAAAACAACAAACACTTCCTAATCAAAGTTAATCGTTTTCTAAAGACTAGTTTGGGTCTCCATAGTAATTAAGAGATCGCTGAGAAAAACTAGCGCTGCAATATACTACGGACTCTCGAAGTTCACCTTTTTCATGCTTGCTTTGTGATTGTAGCGGTTATATTTAACAGTATAATACACGAGAGAAACCCTGTAACCTTATGGTTGTCGTTTACAATGAGAAATTTGACACCTGAGAAATGTTTTCTATTTTCCAACCTAATGTTACCTTACATTTTAATTAAGGTAAACTCGACTTGACGTGTAGTGTGAATTTTTTTCATCATTGAGATTAACGTGTCTTTTAGACTCGTCGCAATCGAGAGTGGGCGCGTGCGAGTCGATGTGATCTCGATTCCCCAACCGAAAGAGCAGATCTTCGCCAGGCGGCCGCTCGCGCGAGATGAAGTCGCAGAGGCTGGGAGGCGCGACCGCGGCCTCTGCCTTAACTGCTCTCACGCTCAGATCGATTCTGCCGAATGGAGCCGCGAGTTTCGACGTGCCGCGCGTGCGGATTTCTTCTTACGCCTTCGCCTCCGCCCACAATCGCCCCCGAAACGGGGGGGGCGTTAAATTTGCACGAGGGCACCCTCCTTTGCGTCGGTCATTTGAATCCGAAAGGAAGAATACTGGCGCTGTTTGCTGTTTCGTGATATTGCTGGGTTTTGTGACAGAAAATGAAAATGCTGCAAATCGCAGGCGAACACGATGTCTCCCGAATACGCTATTTGGCGGCTTCACGGGTTGCGTTACACTCTTTCTGAACGCGTGTTTTGCAATGGAAGTCGAACGTGATAAGAAAACAGACGTGATTTGTGGTTGTAGGCAACAG